CTTGGTGCAAATTTCTTTGTCTTCTAACCTCTACTATATTATATGTATTTCTTCCTAATATAGCTTTTTTGTTAGTCACCTAAAGGGTGTTTGCTAGCCAGTTTTCTTGTTGTTTTTGTATTTTGTTTTTCTTTGTTTTGGAATTGAGGATCAGCGGGGAGAGTGTGTTGTCATTGAATCTGTTGATATTAAATATTCTAATATTTGATATTTTTTCTTAATTGTTTTATCTTCTTAATGTTTCAGATAAATCTTCATATATTCTTCAATTTTTTTAAGTTTTATAATATTTTGTTGTTGATATTATCTTGCTCAAACATATAAAAATTGAACTTATTTATATTTAACAAAGAATATTAAATTAACATCATTACATTATTGTTAATGATTAAATATTCTTCATTATTACTAGTCAGATAATATGAAATACTTACAATTCTTTAAAATCATAATCAGTAAAATAAATAAAAAATAATGGATTTAATTATAAATATTGTATTATTTACATACAATTAATTTCATTAACAATCAATTGACAGTTTTTGTCATTATGGCTAGAGTTAATTTATAAAAAAAAAACTTGTCTATGAAACCGGAATTCAGCAAAGAAGAATTCAGAAGACTGCTATAATTAATCGTAAGTCAAAAAAAATAAAACCAGATTGTATCATCTTTTTACTTCTTAATTCTCTGAGATTTTTTTTCTGGACGGTGATTCGTGGTTTCCAAGGTTGTTTCAACTCCCGTCAGACTCCATTTTGATACTCCTAATATTGAAGCACATCCGATAGTTCGGAATATTATCAGAACACCGTAGGTTATGTAAGTTATATATACCATGACATCAATTCAAAGTATTCAATTATGTAATGAAATATTGCTAGGTAATTCCTGATTTCTTAAAACTACTCTGATTATCTGGATATGAAATTATCATATCGGAGTATTTTAAGAAATCAGAAATTATCTAACAATTGAGCTTTTGCGACATCATTAGTGATGGTAATCGTTTGAAACCGTTCTATAATGGAGTTTCAAATTCCTGATGTTAACAAGTAATTTTATTGTATACGGAAGATGGAATTCTAAAAAACTGTCTACTCTCAAGAGCAAAGATTTTTCATTACAATCCATCGTAACAACAAATATTCTTTACACTCTTGTTCATTTATTGCTAACTTTAAAGATAAATATTATAATTAAGCACAAATATTATCGAAATTTTATTCTTAGAAGTACGTTACAAAAGTTGTCTTTAAACTGAATAAAGAGAATAAGGATGAAGAATATAGTTTCGACACATAAACCATTTCTTCTTCACGATCACCATCAAAAACCAGAAAGGTACTTCATTGATGGAGACAGGTTATAAATGAAGTGACAAAATTTAACAATTTTTCGAAACGTTATAAATCTTTTAATCTTAATTTAATCTTAATTTATTTAATCTAATCCTAATTATTTAATTTTAATTTAATTTATTATATGAGTGTCGCCAAGGGAAAACCTGACTTCGAGTCGAGCTTTTGAATTTATTACAAGAACTGGAAGCCTCGATTTCTATTACATATTACAAATCACCAATCAATTGGTTCGCCAAACAATTAAAACATTCTTTGTACACGTGCCTGATACGTTATTGACAGTGTTTGAATCCGGTAAAAAATATAATTGAAAGCCCAAAGTCTTGGCGTCATCCATATGGTTAACTTGATAATTATTAATTAAGGTTACAGTATACGTACAATCCACACAGGTAATAACACAGGTGATATAAATATTAAGAAATTTTTTTGCGTAAACTTATACGTATACGTATCTGAATACGTATTAATTTGTCTTTTCAAACTGACAAATGTGAGAAATATTTTAATATACTCGATAGTTAATTAGCCAAAATGACTAAAATGAATTGACACAATTCAATTCGTGATGAATCACGAGTTGATATATAGTGTCACGTTGAATTTAAGTTCTAGTGTCATGTTGAATTAAGTGCTTATTTAGGTAAAAAAAAAAAATCCAAGGAAAGGATCAGCGAGTACAAGTTGATTGGTTTGGATGGGATGATCAATTTTCAATGAGAGTTGCGTACGTACAAACCTTTGATGAGGGTTATTCAACTCTTAACATCTACTCAGGAGGTGACTGAAACCGGTAGAAAAATTTAGAAATTCTAAGCTAAATCAAAAGTATATATAAGCAACAGTTTCAAAGGAATGGAGAGAGAATAGGTACACAGATATATATATATGATTACTTCAAATTGTTTTAAAATCACTTTAAATAGACGCCTTATGGGCGTGCCTTGGCCCGCAGATATTTGCATTTTTGTGCATATGTCTATGCTCAAGATCAAATAATTTTTTCTTTTTGTATATACTAAATGAAAATGTTCGTTGCCAAAAGAATATACATTCGTACTACTGATAAAGTGACTTTATAACGTTATATGATCAATCGATCCTTCCAAGTTCTAGAATATTTGAACCTTCTGAACACCATTAAAAATTAGTAATTAAAAACAATATTAAATTTTAATTGTACAGTATATCAAAAAAACGAAAAATGAAATAAAGCTTTGTTTCTATCTTTAAATAAGCAATAAATTTTTTATGATCTAGACTTTCGATATTGCGTAAATGACAAAAGCCGACTTACGAATTTATGGAAATATTACAATGGTATAAAAAAATTTTGTAAATTAATTTTTCCATCTAAAGAATATATAGAAAGAACCTTTTATATCACCATGCAATAATTGAGCAAATGAATTATTAAGAATAGTTTACACTGTTGTTGTTAAACGCCAATAAAATCGACTATGATATAGCGACAAATAGTGTCGACCTAAGATAAAAAAAGTTACACACAATTCCCTTGCACGCCAAACCAAAAAAGCGAAATTATATATGTAACTATGGAAATTAAAAATAATATAGTTTAAAAAATACGAACCTAAATGAGATTTCAAGAATTTTGTATTACGGGTGTACGATGCATAGGTCACATTGTAGCATTCAGCATCAATAACAAATAACTACTTACTATAACCTAAATGATAATTGTAATATTGTGATTCAGAATACAATAAACGAAATTTATCATTGACACGTCGATTATATAAGAATCATAGAATTATATAAGGTAATTGATATAGAAATTTAATTCGATCTTTTTTTTTTTAATGGCACCCTATTTACCTCCTGAATGTCTTCAAGAGATATTTAATAATCTTGTAGATGATTTTCAAACGTTACATTCTATTATCTTTGTTAATAAATTATGGTGCGCGACTGGAATAAGAATTTTATGGAGAAAACCATTTTCTTATGATAATGAATGGAATAATTTATATAAAATAATTCCTATATATTTATCATTTTTATCTAAAGAAATAAAAATTCAACATGAACTTCAGGAAGTTTTAATATCAACTAAACCATTTTTTAATTATGTATCATATATACGCGAATTAGATTTATATAGTTTACTTATGCAACTATGTGAATGGATGGTAAAGAGCAAGTTTATAAGTACGAGACCTCGAATATTGACGGAGAGTGATGATTTTGAAGAAGAAGATCCTATTATGAGATTAATTTGTCAAGATATGACAGAAAAGGTTTCATTAAAACGTAATATGTATATTATTAAAGAGATTATCATGATTATTGTTGAAAAATCACCAAAGATTGATTATCTTGAGATGACTATGGGAAATATGGATGGTATCGTTTTTGATTATCTTGATTCCGAATATTTTTCAGATATATTTAATGATATTTCATCAGAATGGTTTACAAAAATCTCAAAACTTGAATATGATGGACGATATTTATTTAAAAAGTTTACGGAACATGCAAATAATATTAAAAAATTATCATTTGGATTTCATACTTTTACACCAGATTTGATTCCTAAAGTATCAGAATTGATTAAAGTTCAGAATCATTTAGTTGATTTAGATTTATATTTAGGTTATAATGAAGAAGAGATTAATATTTCAATGGTGATATCAACATTAACCGAAAATGTGCAATCATTAAAATCATTATCATTAGCATCAGGTGGTAATGGTATAGTACAAGATTTTAAAGAATTAGAAAAGTTATCACAAAATAGTAATTTAGAAAGATTACAATTACGAAATGTTGAATTCACGGTACATGATTATGATAATTTTTCGATAGATATAAAATTTTCTAAATTAATATCTTTAGAACTATTTGATGTTAGAATGGCTAGTCAATATCCCGAAAAATCACTTGTTTATTTAATTGAACAGATGATGAAAAGTTCCAAATTAATTAGCCTAGATTTGGAACCTTATATTGGGGTTAAATATGATAAATTACTCGAATTTATTCCATGTCATTGTGCCAATTTAACCGAGATAACATTGAAGATAAATGAAGCATATGAAGAAACCATGAAAACGATATTAAAGATTTTACCAAATTTGAATAAACTTAGAATTCTTCGTATAACAGAGGATTGGGGAGGAATTCAATTGGATGGTGGAAAATATATTGATAAATTAATATTACCTAATCAATTACAATTTTTTAATGTCACGGGCTTACTTTTTTCCGATGAATGTTTGAAAATATTTTTTGAGAAATGTTGTTCTGATTTAAAACAAGTAGTTTTATTGCTTAAAAATTACAATGTCAAACATGAACAGATTATCAAATCATTTTCATTGGAAAAAAAAAAGGATATTGAAGATATTATTGTTTCAATTGATAATAAGTCAGAGATTACTATTAATTGGAGATGAATGATTTAAAACATTATTTCCTAGTAATATATATATATATATATAATTAAATATAATTAAATACAATTAAATACTGTGATCTAATTAAAGAAATTTTTATCTAGAAGAATATGGATAAATAGTTAGCAAATTATATTGTTGAAATAAATTAATAATATACAAAACTTATAACGATAACAAAACATTTCATTGTCATACTTAGTTTCATTTTCTAGTACGTACAATATCTGTAATTAAATTCTTAAGGAAGGGGTGATGGATAGCATCATACGATTTCAGTAATATCAATTTGTAACAATAAGTAAGTAAATACCTCATGCGATATTATTCATCACATAGTTTGGTACGCCCAAAATAGTTTGCGTAACACCGCTAACGCTAATTGCAGAAGCCTCAAAATTTTCACAGCCTCGATCATGATGTTATGATCTTTGATCACGTAATTTTATGAAGCAATTATTTCTTACCCAAATAATACATTATTATGTGAGGGTTTTTTAACAATATCGACAATATCGGAAATTTCGGAAAATTATCTTTGCGAATGATTATCATTATTTGAACAAATTATTTAAAAAGATACATTTTTCAAATTAAATATATAATATTTTTTATTTATAGCTTTTATTTTTCTCTTTTTGATAATAATCTCGGTTTATGGAATTTTAATTGATTCAGAATTGTAACATTGAGTAAAACTTGTCTACTTTATTAAAAGAACTAATTACTCATAAATAGATAATACTGTTATAACATATTATAAGTGATTACATATTATAAGTGAGTTAATATGTCTCACAAAAATTGATTAGCGATGATTAGGTTAGTTCAAAAGAAAGTGTATCGGAAATTACTATTATTCGGATTTTCATATAGTAATTTAGTATATGTTGTGTTACTTATAATTTGTTTAGTTTGATGGTAACGCTAATGCATGAAACGTGGTTTAATTTTTAATACGTAGCGGTAGCCTTTTTTTTTTTTTTGTGTTAGCTCTGGATTTAATGAAACTTCTTTTCATAAACCAAACTATACATGCAGTACTATATACCTTAATTCCCTCGCGTCTGTCCTAATTTGTACATATTATTTTGCTATGTTTTTATGAGCCGAACCTAAAAAAAAAAAAAAAAAAACGGCTAGGCTAACTGAAGTGTAATAAAAGCGGGACGGGCCTGCAAAAAATTGCCTATTTTTGAGGCCCGGCCCGCATTTAGGGGTAAAATATTTTTGCGGCTCGGCTCGCATATATCAAATTTTTTCTTCAGCCCGACCCGTCCCGGCCCGCAATTATAAAATTTTGCTTCAGGCCAGGACGGGCTGCGGGACCCAATGCAGCCTCTAATGCAATGTACACAGTATTGCCACTTGGATATTTGACCAGCCAATAGCCAAAAAGAGCAAAAAAATTATTTGGCTGAAATGGACAAAAATTTTATATAGTAAAAACCAGTAATATAATTGGTTAATATTATATAAATTACCGAAGGCCGGCCCCAAAAAAATGGTTTGCTCGCAAATTGCCAACACTGAATGTACATAAGGGTTATTATAATTAGATGAGTATAAATAGACTAGGAAAACAGTTACTATTAATCTCCGAAGCTAAAAATATAATCGGTTAGTTGGACTATTTATATAGTTTGATTGGCAATTATTTGATCACATGACTGAAATCCAACACAAGATCATGTCAATTGTTCTAACATAGAGTCCTCGCTACGTACGCTTCGGACAATGAATATAAAGATGTTCTAAGTATAAATAGATGAGTATAAATAGAATTACTCCAGAATGAAGACGTTCTATTATTTAAAAATAATAAATTCGAATCTCATTTTTTTCAACCATATTACGTAGTACGTGCATGCATATTTTCAGGAAATGATATCTTAAAACGAGTTTTTCAAATCGGAAAGCCACGACCTTAGCTGAATCAATCCCTAAATAATCCTTGCCTTTCTATAACTGTAATGGACACGTTCATGTATACCAATACGTGCTATGTGCCTGTGTACGTGCGATTGTGGGTATTAATAGTAATGTTAAGGATTTACATAGTAAAAATTCTTAAAATAATTAACGCCTTGTTTGTTACACTTAATAAATATATAAAAAGATATTTCCGAGAATCATTTATAAAAATACATTAGTTAGATTTTTACCCCACTACAATTTAACAAATGAAATGCTTTGACATCTCGGTCCAATTTTATATTTTTCTCTCAATACTTGTCGCATTCATATATACACTCCCAATTCCACAATCACCACCAGTGCTTGAGAATATAACATTATCTCCAAACGCGACTTGTTATAGCGTTGGTAAAAGTGTTACTGTGAATTGGAATGCTGAACCAGGCACTTCCGGTAACAACGATCAAATGTTTATTCGATTCATTATTAAATCTTGAAGAAAATTGATTAAAAAATTTATATATATATTTTTTTAAATAATAACAGGCATAAATGTTACATTAACGGTAGTGGGAGTAGTATCTAACGTTACTTACTATACCTTTACTGATGTAAGTTTTTGTAAAAATTTTTTTTTTTGTTTGTTGTCAGACATTGCTAATAAATTCTAATATATATATATATATATATATATATTTAAAAAAAGCCATGGGAAAAACAGAACGAAACTTTTATAATAACATCAGAAATGTTATCTGAAACACTTTGCAAAGCTTCGCTTGCATATGAAGGTAATCCCACCTTCTTGCTTGGTGTTGTGTCCTTTCCCATTTGCAAATCATAGAACAAGGTCTTTTTTTTTTGTCACTTTTAAACCTTTAATGTTTAATGTAATCTATTGTACTTTAAATAAACATTCTTTATGATTGTATAAAATCTGATTTACTATTAACATATCGTTGAAATGTTTATTTATCAGTTTTTTGATAGATCAGAATTAATTATTGATCTATAGTGTAGTAAGGTCTTTAAGTATTCATCTTTAAAATTCTAAGAAAAATTCAAACTATATATTGGTTTAGATTCAGGTTTTAATTTGAAAATTTTAAATTTTATATTTGTATTTAAATATAATTTTGAATTTTTTAAATTATAATAGCAAATCTCATTGTAAACCTTTCTAACTTTACCATATTTGATTTGATTCAATTGATTCAACTAGAATATTGATTTTAAAAGGTTTATCACAGATTAAAATAAAGTATATTAGATTCTGACTTTTGGCTGCCATTCAACATATGATAGAGCTATCATGTATTTGATATCTCTATCAATTCCTGATATATTTCTGTTATTGAAAAAAATCTGAATTTTATATTTAGGTTATACAAAGTTGATTTTCTGGTTCTCATAACATAAAATAAAAAAAATGACCCGGCAGGCCGGGTAAAAATTTTATATATTAAAAATTTTTACATAATAAAATTTTTTTAAAATTTTTTTTATAACTTATATTGCTCATTTGAAAATAAATACGCTATTATCTGTCAAAATTAGATTCCCGCACGTTAATTACAGTTATTTATATGATATTTGTATAAAGCAAATGGTATGAAAAAAATTTATTAAATGCCTAAAAATATGAGAAAAAAAAGTAAAAAAAAATTAAAAAATAAAAAAAAATAAAATAAAAATAAAAAATAAAATAAAAAAATAAAATATAAAATCAAATAAAAATAAAATGAAATAAAAATAAAATAAAATAAAAATAAAAGGAAATAATAAAGTTGAAGAAAGTGATATAACATCAAATCATAATATTGTTAATTAAAATATATACGAAATAGATAGAAATAAAAAAAACTGCAAATAAAAAATAAATTGAAATCGAACTTAATTTTAAGTCTTTCCTCCACCAAATAAGACCTTTCAATTACTCCGTTGCTAATCATGTACAAAATATTTTTGCATAATTGTTTATGTGTTGTTAAAATTATATCGAGTTCCGATCTATTAACTGCTTCATAAGCTTCTTTCGTAAATTTTTTCATTAGAACTCTTACCAATACGCCGAAATTGAAGTTTCCTTCCCTTACTACCGATTTGAACTCGTCGACTTCCTTGCGAGCTTTAAATAAATTATTAATTATTATATTGACAAAACATTTAATAAATTTCATTTTTATAATTATTTAATAATTCACATACAAATGTTCTTCGCGAACCAAGCTTTACATTGGATAACTATTCTATAACAATAAATCGTAACAATAATGTCCCTTCCACCATCATAGCGTCCTCTAAATTGATAATTAAAAATAAGCATACGTTTCATAGTTATACCTTCGGATACATAATGGCTCGACATAATTCTATAAGAAAAACTCACCCTGTATGCTCAATTTCTATGTCAAATTCTTTGAAGTATTCTCGAAGCAACCTAATGCATAATTTTTCGAATCTTGTTCCCATTTCTACATAAGATTCTCCTTTTAAACAATAAAACTTGATTTTTGACGCCATAATTTTCAAAAAATAACTTGCGTTTGTGAGGAGTGAAAAAATTTTTATACCTTTAATAACATATAGAGATGGGCACGCGTGGGATCCCGCGTGTGACGTGCAGAATCCCGCGCGTAATTCTTGATATGATCCCAAAATAAAATTATCTGGCCGGCATTATCATATCATCTAGCTAGCATTAATATAATATCTGGCATGCATTAACAATTTAGCTAGTGAAGTAAATTGGACCTGCGCAGTAGGCATTGCATTGTCTTCTGAGTTATGAAACATTAATAGTAGCTCATCCACAAGATTTTTTCCGGTACGTGATTTTTAGCCAATTATATCGAAGGATCAGGTGTAACGTAAAATCAAAACAATCGAATTAAGCGAAAGATTTTAAAGTAAGAAGCATCATCTTAAGGTTAGGATAAGGGATGAAGAAGGCATAGCTTATACTAAAATTTCACAATGAAATTTTTTTATTAGAACGCAAAAAACAGTATCATAGGTAAAATTTCGAGTTAATGGCGATTTTTTAAATAGACGTGATTTTCACGTTACACCTGATCCTTCAA